TTATATGCTGACAGGGAAACGGGTAGCAAATTCTTGTGTTAATGTGGTTAGTGTGTAATGTGTATGACTTTTTTGATTTTTTAATATATATATATATATATATATATATATATACATATATATATATACACTTATAAATATATATACAGTGGGTTTTTATGTAAAATGTAGCTGCTGGCTTGGCCTTGATTAAAAGTAGAAAAATGTGGCTGGTGAAATTACAGAGAAATTGTGAAAGTAACCGGTTTAGAGAACCCAACATGTTTATATTGCGTAAAATGTGAGGCAATCGAATAGATTTAGAACATGAAAGGCCAAACAGTGATGCCAAATAGAACAGACTGACTTGATTTTTAGTGTATCAGAAGGAGGGATTGTGCATCTGAGGACCAATGTTTAATTTGACACTACAGTTACCTATAGATGCTAAGCCATGTTTAACAGAGTGTCAACAAACCAAACTTTCACATTTCAGAGAGACACTCTTCTCTGTTCAGCATTTCTACATATCTGCAATTTCTGAACTGTGGCATCAGATATGAAGTGATATTCTAGCGGGGTACACTGGATAATCAAACTTATCATAAACAATGTTATATCTGTTAAAATTTGTAATTGTCACAGAGCTTTCTAGTTTGGAAGTGTAATCCACTGCCGCTGCTCACAGAATCCGTCCATTTAGCAAAACGTGCAAATGGTTTCTGCATTTCTATCCACTCTCGTGTTTCCAGACGACCTGACTGCAACCTGGCAGGGATGTTTAGTTTGTGTAGTTATTAGGGAAGAAGCGGTCAGTCTGGGAGAATTTATAGAAGACTGTTATTCTTGTTGTTGATGCTTTTTTGTGTGTGTGAGTCTCTCATCTTCACTTTCTTCATGCCCTGTTTGTCTCAAATGTTCATATGTTCGTGTATGCTCCTGCTGCATGTCATCCATCTGTATACAATAGAATCTGCTCACTCTCAAACTGTCATTCTAATAAATCAAACTGCCATGATTTATTTCTTTATTTTCTCTCCTTTAAATTAAAGCAGAAGTGTTAAAAGGCAGGAATGTACAAGTTGAGTATACAATATACTCTTTTGTTACAGCAGTGAACATAATAATTTTAGTAGTAGTTAATAGTAAATATAAAGGAAAACATTTAAAAGTCAGCTAAACAAACAATTGTAAAAAAACAAACAAACAACAACAACCAAAAAACAGATGTTTCCCTGGCAAGATGGTGCAGTGGTTAGCACCATCACCTCACAACAAGAAGGTCCATGGATCAAATAGCCTTCTCTCTTCCTGTAGTCCAACGATGAGGTTAGGCTAATTTCTGATTCTAAACTGGCCACCAATTTAGAATCATAAAGTAACTTAAAATAACCTTATCTGAGTTTGTTTGAAGCTTTAAACTCAAATCTTTCTCAGTTGTTTCCTGTTTTACTTCTCACCAGAGTAATTGTGCAGTAGTATTCTGTTTTTCATCAGTTTTATTTTCTATGTGATTTTTAATTGTATATTAGTAAATTCAGTTAAGTTTCTGTTATTTCCCCGGAGGGATCAGTTGGTTTGAGTTTTGATTAGTTTTAGTGTGAATTTAATTTTTTTTCTTCAAAATATTAGTGGTGCCAGATACTATTATTTTAATAATGTGCTTATCTAAACCTCCTAAATCTTACAAATTCTTGTCACACAGTCATCCCAGTCAGGTTAACCGTCTGCATTAATGTCTCTTCGGTCTGCTTGTGCTGGAAAATTTGACAAACCACAAAACCATTTTTTATGTTTTTTTTTATTTATTAATTTTTCGTTTGATTGAATTTTTAGTTCCGTTGGCCAGAATGTTTCTTTTTTTTTACACTAAGTGTTACTTTTTAGTTTAATTCACTATATTAAAAAAAAACTTGCTTTTTGTGGAAGTTTTTTTTCATGCCACCACTTCAGAAAATCCAAATCATGCCAGGTGATAAGTACGTGACCAACTGTTAACATTTGTCCCAAACTGCTGCTGCGTCCGCCTAAATATAAGGCTGACAGGAACACCCAAGAAGAATAACCAGATCTCTTAAAGTTTATATAATCTGTGATAAATTTATGATAAAATGACGCTTGTGGTGGATTAATGGACAGGCGTTCACCGTCGATGCCTTAAATGCAGAAAAGGGGTCCTGTCTGTTTGCGCATGTCCGACAGATGATGCTGCTTTAGCAGACAGCAGCACGAAGAGCTGACACGCTGATTACAATCCTTATCAACGTTATGTCGCCACAAAATGAAGTTTCCTTACTCAAAGATTCCTGAGGAGTAAGTATCGCTCTCTTTAACACAGGTCACGTCGGTGCTTTCCGTCAACGAGAAGCTAAAGTTTGCTAACCAGCTGGCCTGTTCACAATAAGCACAAAGAGGCTCCTTATTTACTGTGGTGCTTGACTTGAGGTAACCTTTTGAACGATTTAACATCAGTTTTCTGAAGGTGTCCGGTTCTGCTTGGGGTTCACATGGTGTTTGGCCACTGGAATCGTCCGGGGTGATTTATTGAAGGCTACAGGCGTTAGCTAGCTGTTTGAAACTGCAGCAGGTTGAGACTGGATTGTTAGACAGATGGCTAACGTTACCTAGCTGCAGACTGACTGTCAGAAAGTTCACCTCTCCCGCTGTAAGACCACTCCAAGAAAGCGGTTCAGCCTTAGGAAGACAG